ATGTACAAATACTTCTTAATTTTCATGAAGTCCAATTACCTGTGCCTTTGGTGTTACCCATGAATGAAATTTTAAACCAGTTGACTCATGGTACATGCAGTAGAGTTGTTAGTTTTCTTCTTTCAAAAACAAACCAAGATTTCTTTATCATGTGGAAAAAACAACGGGATCGAAAACTCAACACTATCACCTTCCTAAAGAAACGCTACCACGTTGTAATAATTAACGAGAATTTATTTGCCTTTTGTCCAATGCAGTCACTACCACAGTCTCTGGGATCCTGTAATAAATTTTTATACATTTATGAGAAAAATACAATAACATAGTTTACAAGCGATGACCTGTTTTATGTCACAGCACTTCTTTTTTTTTTTTTTTTTTTAATATAAATGTATAAAAGAAGTTGTGTGAAAAAGGAGATCCTTCCATGGAAAAGTTCACTCCGAACCAAATGACCTCAACATTTTCAAAAATTTTTTCACATAGATACTGATAACAAGGCCGTCTGCCCAAAGTTCGTTGCACTCCGGGCCTGTGACATCGTTTTACAAATCAGATAAAATGGAAATAAGGTGGACACATTCAGAAAAGACAGAATTCACTAGTGTTTTTGAGGCTGTGGCCTCACAGTTTGCCTTTTGAACGATGAAATATTAATTGCACATTTTTAAAAATCACCAAGGTTATGCATCTCCCTGGAGTCTAGAAGGTCTTTCATATTTCTTAATTACCAAATCTGGGTTCTGCCGCTTGGCTTTCTCCCTGCTCCTGTTGCATCAAGGGTGCCCTTGTGGTTTCCTCTGAAAAGGACTATACATTAACATACGAGGTTGAGGGGGTGGTGTGGAAGAAGGGAAAGGTGTTAATTCAGATGTTATGAAACTGTGATAATGCTATTATTTAAGGCACTTATTTGGGTGTGTTTATACTTTGTAGTTTTATAAATAAACCCAAGGGGCTCCTCCTGGTTGTCACAATCCTTGAATCTCGTATCCTGTCTGTCTCTTCCTATCCGACAGTAGAATTGATGCCGCTCTAATCCCTGGAAGTTGGGAACTAATGAACTCACTGCTGAGCTGCCGCCACGGAGCTTGGTCCCAAACTATACTGTACTTCACACTCGATTTATTCTCCAGATGGTGAGACTGTGCCGCCCTGCCGCGAGGGACCACCTCTTCCACTGGAGTGTAAAAGTGGACGGATGTTGTTTTCTTTGCAGATTTGATCATTCGGAGCTAGAAACTTGCGAGGATGATTAGTTATTAGCTTTAATGGGTGCCAATTGAACCAACTGCACGCATATTTTCTCCTTTAATTTTGGAGTCTGCAGGTCTTGGCGATGGTTGATTTAGCCGCTTTCTTACGTCACCCAAGCGTGTCTCTTCCCCAGGTGATAAGAACCGGGTCTCTGAAATCAGAGCACGCCTTGGTTCCTGGCCCAGACAGAGGCACATAATACGGTGGCTTATGTATAAGGACAAGTTTATTAGCCACTGGTCCACTGCACTGAGCAGCCTGCGGCACGAAATATCGATTGGCTGCGGGAAGTTTGGTGACACCACTTTTTATTTAGAACAGGGGACAGTGACGATTCTGATCGGTGCCAACTTTCTTTGTGACCTCTGCAGAGTTCACCTCTGGAATCAGACATGCTGTAGAACACACTGTGATAATTAGTCTCTGCAAAGATCTAATGTAACTGTTGAGAAAGGCCTGAATTCCATTATTCTGTTTTTTTGGATTTTAGTGGGACAAGATCACCCTACATTAAGAAATGCTTACCAAGGCCGTTCTGTAAGACACCCCTTCCCCCCCCCACAAAAAAGGTCTTTTTTGAGGAGCCTCTTTTTGCTTTAATTTCCTCTTCCTTCTTTTGCCAGGGAACATTACCTCCCAATAATCTCAGCAGATCACTTATATAGCCCTTCGGAGAAGGGGGTGTCTGCCAGGCCGTGTCTTACTGATCCCCTGAATGAGACAGAAATTGGAAGGATATGGGGCGCCTGGGTGGCTCAGTCGTTAAGCGTCTGC